TAGCAGACTGGGAAAATATAATATGTTCAAAAATAATTATTGTACTGCCGAAACCAATAAGTACATTAAGAGAGATAAATATACATACTATTTAATTTTAAAGTAATTCTAATCTCTGGGGTGATTTAGAGAAATTTCATAAAGAAGTTACCAGTACAATGAAGTCATTAAAAATATATGAATATATGGAAACATAATCAAAATAATGGCTTTTTCAGTCCGGGCAGGGAACCTACAAAGAGCAAAGACACAGTGAAGAGAATTCTCAGGAAAGGTTTGGGTAATAGAAAGAAGTTTACTTTTTATTGAAATAAAGTTTTTGTGGATGTAAGAGAAAGGTAGAAGGTTAGATTGGAGTTTCACAGATTGCTAAATTTGAACACCAGTTTATTCAGTAAAAAATAGCAAGCCATTAAAGATTTTCAAAGAAAAATATGTAATCGGACCCATGCTCTAAGAATATAATTTTGACATTAGAAATTGAAGCAAAATGGAGAGACATGGGACTAGAAACAAGGAGAGCACTTAGGAGAGGGTTCTTGGGAATGGTTCTGTACACTCAAGCTGCTGCTGGCAGAGGCTAAATGCCGCAGAGGCTAGAGGGGAGGAATCAGCTAACCTTTGGTCATGGAATAAGTTCACAAAGGTGACCATCAAGTGACTTAGCAGGACTGACCCTGAGAATAACTATGTAATTTTTTTTTAATGGCAAATGCAGGGGAAACAGGTTTATGTGAGAGAAATAAGGACGATGACCACTTCAGACATATTTAACTAAATATGCTATGTGAATGCATCAAGCTTGTAATATACATGAGGAACTCTGGGGTTGATCCTGGGGTTATGGGCATAATGGTGAGCGAGAGGGACTATGGAGGACTTAGCTAATCCATAGACCCCCTTTTCCATTCTCATTACACACACAGAAAATTTATAACTTTTAAAACATATCACCTAGCTCAGAAAAAAAAAGTCTCAGGTTTCATCAATGAAAATGTGGTAATCATGTAGGCTGATACCACAGAAGCATATGGGGGTATCTATCCCAGAAAGAGTACCTAGTAGTGTGGTAATGGGATTTTAATATCTACATGAGAAAAATTTGATGTTCTGCTAAGGTATGAATTTGGAACTATATCTTGGAGTCTGGCAGCACCTCCTTGCCAATGCACAGTCATTGAGATTCATGCCAGCTATTTTTATGGGTTGTGGATTGGTGACACATGAGTATTGTGGAAACCCAAATTGAGAAATTAAGGTAGAAATTTGTTCAAGAATTGATAAATTCCAAGCGTAAGGGCAGAAAGCAGATTCTTTTGATAGGATCATTTAAATAATTCAAGATGCTCATAGAATTCCTACAGAAACTAAAATTACCATGAAAAGGCATTCACAATAAAAACTATAAAGCACATGAGAAAACAAGCTAACTTAAGACAAGGAAAACAAACACAGGAGACAACAGAAAAAAAAAAAAACTATAGCAGAACAGAAGGTAACAGAACAACCTGAAAATGATTATAAATTAACCAAGTGAAATGTTCATATAGGCAAAGAAGACCATAAGAACAGATCTTTACAGAAAACAAAATTAGTATTTGACAAAACGAAACATTATCTATAAGTGGAAATATATTCATTAAAATACAAAAGCGAATGGATTAATTGAACAGCAGATTACATGTAACCAAAGGGAACAGCAGATTAAGTGCAGCTTAGCCTGCAATTAGGATTTGAGAAAATTGTAAGAATGAAGCCCAGAAAAATAAATTAATAGAAATTGTAAAAGTGAGGTTAGTAGACAATGCCTAATAGAATTTCCATATGGAGTAAACAGAGAAAATAGATATGAGAAATACGTTTGAAAAGGTAGTACCTTGAGAATTTTCTAGAAATTAGGAAAAGCACTAATGTTAATATTGAAGAAGTATAGCAAATCCTGAGATAGCTAATAGTAAAATGCAGATAAGATAGAAACAGATAATCCCAAAAACAGTAGAGAAAAAAATAGATTACCATAAAAGAATTAGCTTGACAGTAAAATTCCTATCAGCAATAACTGAGACCGGAGACAATAAAATAATATATTCAATGTGCCAAGATAACTGTCAACATAGAATTTTATACCTAGTCAAACTATTGTTCAAGAATGAAGATGAAATAAAACCATTTGCTGACGAAACAGTCTGCAACATCTACCATTCAGACTCTTGCTGAAAGAACTACTAAAGTATTCAGTTAAGTCAAAAACATTGAACCAGAAGTAAGGGATAAGATGAAAAAAATAAATGGAGCAATAGGAGTTTGCAGCTTCAGAAAAGTAGAAATTATTTGGAATGGGTCTGGGTAAAACTTAACCACCAGGCAATCAAAGCTGAACAAAAATATTATGGCATATTAGTGAGGAAATTCCTGAGATTAGTTAGATGCTGTCAGATCCATGTAATATACCTTTTTACACAAAGGAATCAGTATGGCAATCCAGGTGATGCAGTATTGCTAATAGTTGAGTGATTTTTGATGTTGGCAGTATAATAGAACTTTAAAAATTATATAAAAGAATATATTGGTGGTTGGATTTCATTCCCTAGGTTTCTGGTTTAAATGTTTTGGAACATATCCTAAGCATCAGTGTTTGTCTTTTTTAAAGCACCAAGGTGATTCTGTGCAGGCAAGGTTGAGAACCACTGTAATAGATTGTTAGAGAAGAGCAGAAGTCCAGAAGCTGGCCTTGGCCACTTGTCAAAGAAGAGAATTCAGTTCATATTCATGACAGTAGAGGCCTTTTCTCACTCAGGAAAAGTAGCTTGACTTCTTTAGAAAGGGTTGGCAAACTTTTTCTGTAAAGTTCCAGATAATAACATTTTAGGTGTTGTGGGTCAGATGATTTCTGTTGCAACTGCTCAACTCTGCTGTAGTGTAAAAGCAGCCATAGATAAGTATGCAAACAGATGGGCGTGGCTGTATTCTAATACAATGTTATTTGTAAAAGAGTGATAGGCTGAATTTGGTCTCTGGGCCTTAGTGTACCAACCTCTGCTTTAGAATGTTAAAGTATACAGTTAAGGGAACATAATTGAGAACCATTACTTTAGCTTTGGAGAAAGTAGTCCCATGTGTGACTAGATCAAAGCAGCGTTCCCTCACAAGATAGGGAAGAGCATATGAACATGAAATGCAACAGAGTGTGAAGATCGCAGAGACAGAGGCATGGAAATGTCCTGGAGGGAAAGTGTGAATAAATAAAAATGCCCACATAGAAAGTTAAGGTTCTGTCAATAAAGTGGTAGCTGTGGCCAAATAATAATTTGGAAATGCAGGAGAGGTTTGTTTTGTTTTGCATTTGTTTTATTTTGTTTTTCACATTTAGAAGGAGAACATGTAAATAAATAGCTAGGATTTTCCATTTACTCACATCTAGATGCTTTGGATTCAAAAATCAATGTATTTATATATTAGCATGTTATTGTAATCATTACATTTGTATTAAAACTTTTTCTCCTTTTCCATCCTTAGCCACCTTCTCCAGTGTTATGTTCATTTAAGAACATTTTATTTTCACACATCTTGATTAAATTTACAGATTATCTAAAGCATAAACTTAGATTATAGTGATTGAAATAGCAGAGGGATGAGCTTCCTGTTCAGCATAACTTTCAAATTTTACTTGAATTTATCCCCTTTTATCCTTTCCTATCCCTCATAACTGCTTGAATGGCTTATAAAACTACTTAATACTAAAACATATTTTAATTGACATTTTAACACTTCTATAATTTCTGTAACCTAATTTGGTTACATCTTAGAATCAATGGCTATGTACTGAATCATTGAATATGTATTTTATTTTTCTACTCCAAAGACTGTTAGGAATTTCATAGTGCATCTTCCAATCAATAGCATATTAGAATTAAGGAAATAGGATATTATCTTGTGTTTTTGCCTCTACCTTTTCTCCGGCATCTGCTTCCACTGCCCCCACAGAGTTATATTTCTGGGAAAGAAATCTGATCTTGCCACTACCTTACCTAATAATTTTCAGTGCCTCAAAACAATTTTGAGTGATCTCAAAGTCCAGACAACTTGGAATGGCATTCAAAGGCTTTGCTTTCTAAACCCTTTCATATTGTAGCCCCTGTATTCGATCTCCAGCCTCATTTCCCACCATCTTTCTATCTTTTATGTAGCTTGCTTCATTCATTCCTAAATATCATACTCATTATGCATTATTTCAATACAAGAATTGTAAACATCTCTGAAGTAAGTTTAATAAAATGATATTGATGTTGAGCTGGAAATAGCTAAAGCAGGCTTTTCCTAAAGCTTAATTATTTAAGATTGAAATGGATCTTTGTCTTTGCAGGAAAAGCTTGACTTTTTATATTAGAATGAGTTACCAAAGAAGCTTATGGAATATCTTTATTCTGAGCCTTCTAAACACATTAGACACTCTTCTGTTTGGAATGATTTAGGTAAACCCATGAGAGAGGGAGAAAAAATGAACTCTGAGGCTATGCCCAGTTCCAGGACCTTTGGATGATTAATGACTGTATCTAAATGAGGCCAAAATATCCAGATGGGGGTAAGAAGAAAAATTCAGTTAGTCTTCTACGTGGTCTCCCTGTATGTTTCCAAAGACCTGGATATTTAACAGTTGGGTGTATGTAATTATTTAAATAAAACCATATATTTCACTAGTATTTTCTGCTTTGAATGTTAATATGTTGCCATGGTATGAATAACTTTACCAGATAATCACTTACTAATTATTCCCATCTGTCATCGAATACATGTATCAAATTGTAATTATTATAGAAAGATAAAAATGTGAGTTGATTGAAAATGCTTCAAACTTTATTTGGTTTGGTCTAAGGATAAAATAATAATAAAGCAATAGTGCAAAATAAATTTTCCTGATGCAGTTTTGACTAATTCTTTTTATAAAATGGAAATGGCTTATTTACCATATGCATATTTATAAGGCTCTATTTTTAATCTAGGTATGTGTCTTGTGCTCTGGGCTGTCCATATGAAGGAATTATTACACCGCAAAAAGTGACAGAAGTAAGCTACATCTCCAGCTTTTTTGGTTTATGGTAACATGATATATATTATTTTTAAAAGTGGAGTTTCTTACTGTTTACTGAATCTGCATAGCATGAAGTCATAGATTAAGAGATGAGCCCTGAAGACATATTTCATCACTTAACTAATAGTTTCATTTTAACACTGAAGTCCTGTACATTGGCTATAACTTTTCAACATTAAGGGACAGTTGAGTCCTACAATTTGGGTGCTCAAAGGTGGAAGGGACGAAAGTATCTATTTTGGTTTTTTGTGGTTATAACCTAGTGAGTGGCCTTTGCAATCTCCATCAGAATGTCAGGGCAGTTTGTGGAGAAACCCTTAAACTTTGCCTTGGTTGCTTAGGTAGCATCCCTATTTTTCTCTTGCATACTTTGGCCCGTTATATCAGAGTATACACCACTTTTGTGTTTTTATCCTTTTGTGATCCTGTAGGTCTGACTGCTGTGATTAAGTTGCTATTATTCCAGAAAAATTTTAAAAGAGTAGATTATAGTCATTAAGGCCCTGATTACTGAAGTTTATTTTCTTCCTGTCCTTTATTATTTATTTATACCAATGAGTACAAAATGCACTGTCTTTGAGATTATATTAGATTGTCTCAGACATTTATTTGTATATAAAGTACATTAATGTAGACTTGTTTTTAAGGTTAATTTTGACAAGTTTAGTAATTTGCCAAAAATTTGGCACCAAAGCAGTGAAGATGGCCTTATAAGAAAATCCAAATTTAGGCAGGATAAACTTTCAGTTTAGCTAACTAAAGCCATTCCTCTTTTGTGCTTTCATTTGAACTTTTGGAATCTACTACAGATTTTTCAAATGAAAGCTATCCTTTTATCATTATTTACACAAGATCCTTGCACACAGAGGCACGTATCCTATAAAATAACACCATTCATATTTTGTAGATTTTCACTTGCATGGGACCCTTCCAAGGCTCTGACATTAATTTGCATTCACAATTGTGTGTGTGTGTGTGTGTGTGTGTGTGTGTGTGTATGTATGTATGTATGTATGTGTGTGTGTGTGTGTATATATATATATATATATATATATATATATATAATTTTTTTTTTTTTTTTTTAAAGAATACCTCCAAAGGGTATGACTTCAGGCTGGCCCCACAAAACCTTGATCCACCTTTGCTTACCAGCAGACTTGCTTTCTTCCTTTTGCTATGCACCACATAGGAGTGAACCACACACACCTTGGGTGAGGATCTCCGTTTCTGTACCCGAATGCCTAAGGTGCTACTGCAGAGTCATGTAACAGGAATAATTCAGGGCCAGCAACCTTAAAGGGGCCTTTTGTGTGATTCTAATACATTTTGTGCTTAACTCACTCTCTTCTCTCTGAAATTACTACTTCAAACTATGATTACTCTGTTCACAGTTTGGTCCTTCCCCTCATTGTCTCCCTCCTCAGTTTTTGCTTTCTCATTACACTGTCCTTTGCATTTATCTTTTTCCCTACCTGGAATGTTCTTTGCATTTTATATGTCAGCTGCCTGGAAGCCATTAACATTTGCATTTGATATTCTTCCTAGTACATTGTTCTCAGATCCTTCCTTCTCACCCTCTTCAAGGAGTTAGTAAGCACTTTATAATAAAGCTTACTTTATTTCAAGTTGTCACATAGGTTAGAATCGTTTCTTTGTTTGAAAATTCTTATTTTTGTGAGTATTTATTTATTCCTCAGTAGGGTTGACTAAGATCTATCCTCACTTGACTTAAGGATCTGTATTAATATGAGCCATGTCAGTATTAATTTCCCCATTATATCCTGGGACTAGCACAGTGCTTGCCATAAAATAGGCATTGAAGAAATACATATGAAATGAATGAATGAATCAGTATCATGTGCCAGATTGTGTATCAAATGACTTTTATACATTCTCATTTCACTTTTACAACCAAACACGTCATTATTAAAATTGTTTATATCTTTTTTTTTTTTTAAGAACAAGTAACCAAGGCTTAGAAAATATGCTAAAAGAAGGTGTTTTGTTGTCTTATTCTACAGATTAGGGATTGAGGCTTAAGTACGCTAACCTTACGCCCAGTGTCATATGAGTAGGATGAGTGGGAGCTGAGATTTAAATTCAGGTTTCTCTGATTCCCAAACCCATGTCTTTGTCAAAATACCATGCTGCCTTTATGCATTCATCTTGCTCTTTGAAAGTAACATTATTCAGCTTGAAGAGATCTTGCAATTTGCCTCAAAGTATATATATTTATGAGCCAGAAAAATTAGGCCAGAAATATTAAATGACTCTATCAGTTGCAAAGCTACTTAAAGAGCTGAACTTAATATAGTTGATCCTTGAACAATTTGGAGGTTAGGGACCCCACACTCCACACGCACAGTCAAAAATCTAGATATAACTTTTGCTCCCCAAAATTTAACTACTAATAGATTACTGTTGAGTGGGAGCCTTATAGTAATGTGTATATTATATTAATGTATATAATATAATGTATATAATGTAACCCACCAATTAACACATATTTTGATTTTCACTATCTTGAAATGGTGGGCAAATGTAGCTGGAGACCTCAATCTATGGTGCATACTCAGCAATTCAGCTTTCTCTTATGTCATGACTTTTTTCTGCTTCTTGGGAGCACTTCCAGCATCACTAGTTGCACTTCTTGTGAGTTTCATGGTGTTAAGGTTTATGATATTGCACTAAACATAATGAAAAACACATAAGAACTGCAAGAGATCACATTGTACTATGATATGCAATTTACTGGAGAGATGAACTGTTCATACAGAGATGATTAGCATCACCAGGATTTTGAGCTCACTGGAATAGCACTAGGAGGTGGCTACAAAATTATTACAGTAATACAGTATGTACCACAATTAATTTTATGCTGTTACGATTTAGTATTGAATTACATGTACATTTCTCTTAAATGAGAATGACAGTATCTATAGTCTGTGTGTATGAGTTTTGATAAATTTCAACTTTTAAAAATACATTTGTATTATTTTATAGTAAATGAGAAAAATCGATTAGTATTAATATATATTTTATATATTCATGACATACCTTTTTCTTTTTTTGACATTTCTATACTATGGGATTTGTCTGCAAGTTTTTTCAAATCGTTGAAAATCTCAGAAAAAAATTTAATATGGTTATTTAAAAAAAAAATTCATTTACAAGTGGATCCAGAGTTCAAACTTGTGGAGTTTAAGGGTCAGCTATATAGATATCTTTTGACCCCTAAATTAATAGCTTGAGAAATACTACTTCCAAAGTAAATCTGTAATGCTTTGGTTTGATTATAGTGTTGAGAAACATACGCCTGCCATAATTGCCATTGTAGCTTGTAATTTCATAGTGGAACAAATAGCTGGATAAAAAGATAAGGTAGATATGACTCTAAGGCAAACTTGAATACAAGAAAAAGACAATTTCAGCAATATCAAAGTCTTATATAATGTTTAGAATAAGCAAAAAAAAAGGACCAGAAAATACATTATATATTTTTCATGGACATTACTGGTCTTAGTTGTAATTTTTTACCTTTAGTTGATGTTATTTGTGGCACAGGAGGGTTTGAGTCTCTTCATTTCCATTATTTTACTAGCACTTCACCTTTATCAACAGGTGTCTAAGAGATTGTACAGCATGGGTTGTTATGAGATCTCTCTAGGAGACACAATTGGAGTGGGAACTCCAGGAAGTATGAAAAGAATGTTGGAAAGTGTGATGAAAGAAATCCCACTGGGTGCTCTTGCTGTTCACTGTCATGACACCTACGGACAAGCCTTAGCAAATATCCTTACGGCCCTTCAGGTATTTTGTATTCTTTGTGTGTTATGTGTGTGCATAGGGTGTTCATCTTTATCTGTAATATAAACATACCGAGAGTTGTATTGTTACAATTTTTATAAAATATTATGAATATAATTTTAACCAGTGTCTTCACATGACAGGTACTTGGGAAATATTTGTAAATCTCACATTTTTTTAGGGCAATGAAGATCTCTTATTAATTTGATTTGATAAAATCTGTAATCTGTTCTTTTGAAAAGTATTAATCTTAGCAGAGTTATGTCTGCTTCTCTTCCCATATTCTGTCAACCGTAACATTTAATAGACTGAAATACGATGGCAGTTTAAGCAGTGCAAAACATAAAAATAGTAGACTATCATAATCATGAAACTAATGCTTTGGTGATTTCATGTTCTCTGATGGGAAGATATGGTGCTGAAATATAGTATATTTTGCTTAAAATGTTTTCCTGATGTTGGCAAGCTTACTTTAGACAGAACTTATGTCTTTTAATCAAGTATATTTCATTATATGATAAAGTGAAAAGATCTGGAAAGTGGGAAGACTACAAATTGCTTATTACATTCTGTGTTATTTTAAATGTATTCGTTTGAAAGAATAGATAGAAGTGGCATTAAAATAGTATTATTTTAAAATTAATGTCAGGTTCTTAAATGCCACTAAAAATGATTTGTTTGATATTCTCAGAACCCAAGATTTTGACAACTAAAGATAAGACTATATAAAAGTTTTCTGGTTGGAGGCTGAATACCAATATGTAAAGCTTAATATCACAATCCTAAAGTATACAGTTGGTTGGCAGAAGTTAAAAAACAATGGGGATATCAAGTTCCACAAGGGCTTATTTTGACTTCGTAACATATGTGTACAAATCCTTATTTATCGTCTGGAAGCAAGAAAGGAACGTTCTATTGAATCAGAGAAAAGAGAAAATATTATTTCATGGTCTTTGGGGCATAGGAATTTTTACAATTTTCCTTCCCTACGTATTCTAGTTTCTGAAACAATAGAAAACTAGACAGCACTTCAGGATCCTGTGTTCAGCTGCAACTGGAAGTTATTAAGTGTTTCTGAAGGGCTCTCTCTCTCTCCCTCTCATTTCTCTGTATGAATATATCTTCTATGTTTTAATACTTTGAGTAATCACTTATTTGTGTAGCGTACTTATTATAGAATGAATGACAGTTTAGCTCTTCAGGATAAAGGGCTATAGAACAAGATATGGGACCTCAAACTTCTGCTTCTGAACTATATCTGCCTCTTGAAAATGTCCAAGTAAGAAAACATTGCTGCTACCCCAATGCAGTTTGAATGGTTAAGGAAGGCCTATCTGAAGAAGCAATTGTTGAAATCATATCTAAAGAATGAGAAGGAACGAATCCTAAAATGGTGTGTATGTGTTGTGTGTGTGTGTGTACGTGTGTGAAAAGAATGTTTTAAGCTGATGAAATATCATTTGAGCAAAAGTCCTTGGGGAAGGAGAGGATTATGTCCTAGTAACTAAAAGAAGACTAATGTATTCAGATAAATTAAGGTTTATGAAATTTGCCATATTAGTTGAACTGCATTGTCTCTATTTTCTGAGAGATTTGGACTGAAATTCTGGTCCATTTTTCCATCTTATAACAGCCATACAGAGGACAAGAAACAATCTTGGGCCCAAGCAGATGAGGAACATGAATGAGAACATATGTAAGGGCAGAACTCCCCAAAAGACCACACCCCTAGTCCAAGGGTGAATCAGCAAAAGATCCACCGCATAAAGGGAGAGAGCAAGCATATTCAAGTCTCATGGCCTCGGCTATGAGTAGAGGAGAAATAGGACGTATCTCTTTATACTACACAATGTTTTGTAGACCTTCATGTGAGTTTAGGGTTCAAGTTCACATACCTGCAGAACTGGAAAGACCTAAGCAGATGAGTTATTTTCAAATGCCTATGGGTTAGTAGCACTGCAGGTGCCAGAAGAATATTCTTATAAAATATATATTAATATATATTATATATGTATATATTATATGCATATATGTATTATATATTTATATATGAATATATATTTTTAAGGAACAGATCTTCAGCTTACACTAAACTATTTGAGATCTGTGTGTCTTGTGCACACGTGCATGTGTGTGTGCGGGGGAGAGATTGATACTGTACCCCTCTGTGGCTCCTGTGATAAAAGAATGTCTAAGTGTCAGAATCTGAGGATCTGTGTTTTCTGTTTTCCTAGCATGTGCAGAAGCTCTATTGTGTCCATGGGACGCTGGGGCAGAAGGGGAGAAGGGGCCTTGGAAAGCATTAGTATACTCTGTGTTACATTGCCCCAGAGCTTAATTTATAGCCACAGTGTAAATACATGGATAAGAGAGTAAAAGTGGCTTGCATAATAAGCAACATTGATATAAGGCCAGAGAAGCTACTATAAATGAGTGATTGAGAAAATGGTCAAAAAGCAGAGATGTAGAGCTTTCTGTCTATTCCGCCATGAGAGGGCATAGAGTTCGATACCGCATTGACATCATAAGAAAGATATATACACAACTGCTTTCTTGAAACTGTATGTAACTGAGACAGTGTTCAAATGTTTTGAAACGTTTATGTTTATGAAAGACAGCCACATGTGGTACTGGAATGTCACTGCAAACACACATGTGGACTGGTCCTGAGTGACGCTGAGTGAGGTATTCGCCAGTGCTCTCTTCTCACCCCTCTTCCAACAACAATAAAAACACAATGAGCAGGTTTAACTTTAGAGGAGAAGAAGAAAATATATTGAAGGAAACTGTCAGTGTTTGAATAGAAGGAGAATCAGGGAAAATCTAACTTCATTATGAACGGGGCTAACCTTGGCTTTAGGAAGCAGAGGCCATACTTCATTTTTTAAAAATGGAATCTTTGAAGTGGCTTCTAGTAAGATTGGTGGTGGATATGGACTAGATATCATTTGCTTTAATTTAGGGGTGGAGAAGCAGTTTACAGCACTTCAGACTGGAAGTTAATATTAAGGCAAGCAGACATGTAATAAGTGGAAACTTGGCCACAATGATAGGAAACAAATGAAAGTTATAAATGGAACGTCCCCCTCAGTCTGGAAAGCACACACTAATAGTGTAGTAGAGGGATCTGAGGGATCTTTCTTGGGTTCCTGGGTTTTATTGTTTTTTTAAATTACTTAAATATATGATTTATGGGACCAGAGATGGTTGTATGGAATTCAAGAATAATTATCATATTATTTAATATAGAGAAATTATTCTGAGCATGTCGATTCCAGTGTGGGATATTTATAATCCCTCAAAACCAAAAGAGCAAGAAAATGAGGTGCCAAAACGTACAGCAATTTTAGTCACGGAAGAAATGGATGTGGCCCAATATACTTTCTTAATTTTTAATGTAAAAATTTAGCTTCACCCTTCTGCCAAGTACCTAAGTAAAGTTAAAGGCCAGTTAACAAACTGTTTAATCTAATTAATTTCTCAGCCTCTATTTTTCTCCACTGAAATGAGGAAACAAATGAGATCCAGTACTGAAATAACAGCTACACATTGATTGGTAGCACAAAGACAAAGAACAGGCAATATTTGGATTTCTTCTGAAGAAGTACTATGTGCCCTTTTTTCTCTTAAACTTAATAAATTTTAATATGCCTTTTCTCATAATGTTTTTCATATGCTTACTATTCTTTTAGAAAAACCAAATTGTTTACCTAATTTTTACATCAAAAGCTTTCAGTTTTTAGATTGACTCTTAACAAACCATGTTTAAAAGCCACCAAATAGCAAGTCTTTCTTCAGAGAATGTTTTTTAGTTTCTCAAGAAGAAATTTTAAAAATTCCCATTACTAGCCAGATAAACCTCTTTGTTTCTCAGTTCTATATTTGTAAGAATGGATATATGATGTCTACTTCCCTGAGTTGTGCAAAACTGAGATGAGATACAGAATTTCTAGAATGATGCCTTGATAACAGTACACATGGTTGGACTGTTGGATTTTCAAGTGTGTATAACCAAGGTTCCTAAGCCACAGAAGTCTGAATGAACAAAGATGAACAAAGTGCCTTTATATGTATTTTTACAAGTGGTTGGATTGTTTATATCAGTGGTAAAAAATGGGTAAACCTTCTAATACTTTTATTAGTTTTAGTTCATCTCCAACATCTTTTTATTAATATAAGCATCTCTCTGATTTTGGCAATAGGTGATCAATTAGTTTTTGTCTTTAGGGATAATATCATCTTTATCTATTTCTAGATATCCACAGGTATAATGGATAGTTGGAAAAAGCTGTTTCTGAGCTACAGGAAATTTTAAACTGACATTCAGTTAATCAACATTTAAAAATAACACATATAAAAGTTCTGATTCTACTCTAATAAGCTAAAAATGAAAGTGGTTAATCTTCGTGCAACAGACTATACTTAGATCATAAAGTTGAAGCTCACCAAGAAAGTAAACACATCTAAACCCACCCTGCCACTCGCACAGCACTTCATCCATGTTGACCAAATGGACAAGTAGTAGAAAAATTGATTGTCAAGTGTTTCCTGAGTCAGATAAGTAAAAAAGAATGAACACTGGGTTCATCAGTAGAAGGGTTTTTTGTTTGTTGATTTTCTTTTTAATCACAGTTTAACAATTTTTTGTTTGTTGTTGTTGTTGTTTGTAAATCATTGTTTCCACACTTAACATCAGCACAATTAATTTACCAATGTAAATTAATTGGGTAAGGGTAAAGGGTAAAGGATAAAAGGGTAAGCATAGGGAATAACATACATTGTGATCTCCATTCCCACAAGTCACAGCTCACTGGACCAAAGAAACTCTTTAACACATGTCTGACAGTTAGAACATCTTTTTGGGGATCCAGAGGCTGAAAAGGTCATAGGCAGAGTCCTGGAGTTCAGATATACACAGAGAAGTAAAGTCGAGGCTCATGAAACTGAGAGATTACAAGATGGAGAATATGCCTGGTAGCTTTTCACTTTCCATGGGGCCAAGT